GAGATTGACAGTCAGCTGCTTAACAACCCTACTCCAGAGCTACGTGCTAAGAGGCTGGAGTTAAAATCTGAATTTGATTTGCTTAGTACTAAAACTGCTGAATTCATGTTACGAAGAACTAAAGCTACTTATTATGAGTTCGGAGACAAAGCAGGTCGCCTATTAGCATCTCAGCTTAAGGAACAAGCTGCCTCTCGTCTTATTAGTCAAGTGTATGATTCTTCTGGCGTATTAACTAAGAACCCATCTGACATCAATGATGTTTTTTTTTCTTATTATTCCGACCTCTATAAATCAGAATCTCCTGAAGATGAGTCCTGTATGCATCGTTTCTTATGCAGTCTAGAGATTCCTCGCGTTGATGCCACTATAGCAGCAGATCTTGATAAATCTCTAGAGTTGGACGAGGTTTTGAAAGGTCTTCAGGCTATGCAGAGTGGTAAAAATCCGATTGATTTTTACAAGAGGTTTGCCAATCAGCTGGCTCCTTTACTGTTAGATATGTACAATGATTCTTTAGCAAATGGTTCTCTTCCCTTAACTCTGACTCAGGCTTCTATTTCACTCATTCTTAAGCGTGACAAAAACCCAGATGAATGCGGTAGTTGGAGACCTATAAGTTTGCTAAATTCGGATGTTAAATTATTAGCCAAGGTGCTGGCTTCTCGTCTGGACCCCTGTCTTCCAAGGATAATCTCGGAAGATCAAACTGGTTTTATTAGGGGGCGACAATTATCATCAAATATTCGACGACTTTTAAATATCATTCTTTCCCCTTCCACCTCTCCTACCAGTGAAATGGTCATCTCATTAGATGCAGAAAAGGCCTTTGACCGAGTCGAGTGGAATTATTTATTCACTATGTTAGACAGATTTGGTTTTGGCCCCCTTTTTGTCTCTTGGATACGCCTTCTGTACACTGGGCCAGTCGCCAGTGTAAGAACAAACTTTTTGGCTTCTCAATATTTTCCTCTTACAAGAGGAACACGTCAAGGCTGTCCCCTTTCTCCACTTTTATTCGCCTTAGCGTTAGAACCTCTTTCCATAGCTTTGAAAAATCCCCTACTCTTTTCAGGTATTGTTAGGGGAGGGAGTGAACATCGTGTTTCTCTCTATGCTGATGATCTCTTGCTCTATGTTTCGAACCCCGTTGGCTCGCTTTCGAATCTTTTACATGTGCTCAATACCTTTGGATCCTTTTCCGGATACAAGCTGAATATTAATAAAAGCATTTGCTTTCCAGTTAATGGCTTAGCTAAACAAATTTCAGCTGAGTTGC